AAATTATAAAAACAGTATGTCGTCATAGAAAAGAAATTCTTATCACATTTGTACTCATAATGATATTTTATAGGGGTTGGGTGTTGTTATATGCCATTTGTCAATGATTATGAACATTGAACGTTTGTTTATTGGCTTTGGTCGCCATTGGCGGGCAACTTGAAGGTGCGAGTAATTCGATCGTGTACAAGTTAGAAGAACACGAAAGAATACGAATAAAAGTACGATATATAGTCCCTGTAAAAACACTTGTATATAGACTTAGTACAGAATATTGATTGATTTTAACAATTGAAGAATACAATTTCTTGTCATCCATTGTGTTTTGGAGCTAAAGTCGATATCTGTGCTTAGTGGTTGTCGATTCTGAGCGTCTTCAGAAATAACAGGATCTTAAGATTAAGTTCCTTGACACCATCATTCCGATAAAAATAACTCAGATCTCTCACAGTTACAATATCACCATCACTGTAAATTTGTAACCTGAGAATTCTCAAATATTGTTACGTCAAAGCTGTTAACACTGAATACTAAAAACATACATCCGTAAAGAAAATTTTGTTTTTGGGAGACTAGAGGCGATCAATAGCAAGTCAAAGACCTAAGTTTCGTTCTTTTTTAGCGCTCATCAGTAATGCATACCTGCAACCTCAAAAGAATTGAGACCCTGTCTGAGATTCGAACCCGCACCACTCACTGCTACAGTTCAAGACCTCAAGACTGAGCTACTCTGGTTAAAGTAGCCGACAATATAATACATATACTCAACACTTGAAATAATAGCGAAGACCTTTAGCTCAACTGGATGGTTTTGATGTGGGTGCTTTCTTTTTCTCTAAGGCTGACTGGTTTAACTGAGAAGCTTTCCTTATCATTCTAGACAACATCCCCAGTGCAAAATTCAAATAAGTTTACTTGATATTGAAGTCCGCGCTGAAAGTGCTGTCCACAAGGACAATGAGACGTCCGCAGTTAAGCCACCAGCCAGCTTAAAGAACACAACCACATCAAAATACTCAATACTCAACTTTTGAAAACCAACAAATCTGAATGACATTTAAACATTTAAATAATTTTCAAGAGTTGGTTTGTGAGGATTAGATTTGTTTTTTACGAGTTTGACGAGTTTGATTGATATCAGTTAGAGAACCATTGAAAACCAGCACTGGAGTACTGGACAGCTGTTTCATCCTACTAGTTTGGGAATCATCGGCAGTACGCACCCATTGCCAGGGGGCGAACCCAGAACCTTCCGGTTACAAGGCAATGGCTCGTATACCATTCAGCCACTGGGACCGGATTCAACGGTATTCAGACGACATTGATATGGATAAATATTAGCCACCTAGTAAAACGTATGCACAAAAAAACACCTCAACCAACAGAACTATTTACTACTTACATAGTGCAAAATAGTAAATTTCGGAAGACATCTTTTACAACTAAAAATCATCCCCTGGAACACATATTTCCTTAGGGAAGGCTGCTTAGTAAACACGTTTCATCCTATTTGGAATTAACTGCCTCAAATAACTTACATTCTAGTTAACTCCGGTGTTCAAATTAGACTCAAACTCTGTACCGAACTTTTTAAATGGCTGGACTACTGAGTTTTGAAAACTAAGTCTTATATCCACACACATACATTTCGTCACTTTACTACGACGTATATCTTCCTTGTCAACCCATATTCCTCATTGGACATTTCACTTTCATTCAGTCACCTTCAGCTGAATGATCCAACTTGTCAGGAATACCATAGCTGACCAACGATATCCCATAAATAGATACAGATTTAAGAAGTATAAATATCATATAATATATATGAAGAGTGTTATTACTAAACTGACTGACTGGCTAAAATTCAGCATAGAACTTTACACAGAAGTGTAGCAGATCAAGTTGCCATACTCCATGTAGCATACAGTGTAGCAAAAAAAGAAGAGATACATAAAAAAACTATAAAAAGCAGAAATGTGAGGGAGGAAGGAAGAATAGTAACGTGGAAAAGCATCGGGAAATCACAAAGAGTGAGTGAGTGCATCTGTGCGACTGAGAACGATTTTGAGGCGTATCTCCATTATAGAAAATCAAAACAAATGATTCAGCGAAGAGACTCTTTTCAACGAATTTATCATCAAGCTGTACATTCGTATATATATGGTTTTTAAGAAGTTATACCCGGTGAGGGAATTAAATCATAGGCGTGAATGCATAAAATAATAATAATAATAAAATATGAAATGCAATTAAAACTAAAATGTTTGTGATTATAATCGTGGTTAAATGTCAAGTGGCAAAGCAAATTAATGTCATATATAGAATAATTCATAGGATGGATAGAACTTGAAAAAGGGTGTGCAATTATAAGATTAGTAGACAAATGGAATAAAATAAAAACGTTAGGTAATATTGTGTGGAATTTAATAGCATAGAATTTAATGTTGTAAAAAGGAATTGATTTAGTTACGAAAAGGTGGAAGTGGAGCAATAAGAAGCGCGATCATTGAACATCTGGTCGATAATGATCACCCTATCTCTATAGCCTCCGCCTTCAAAGTCATCTACAAGGCAAAGAGTAATTTGCCCAAATCACTACATATCCGACTCATCTGTATTACTGAAGCTTTGGCCATCGACATAGAGAAGCCAGATCTCTGTATACAGAAAACGTTCGTTCAAACCCTCCAATTTCCATGGTCTTAATCCCTCTATGCTAAAGTATGATAATCCCCAATCATATTTTGGCTCTACTTATTTTTCCTTTTGTCTACTCAATTTGTATACTCTTCCTTTATTACGTCAATTGTTACTATTACTATTCTCACTTTAAACTGTCCCCGGTATTATTTCACTCGTCCCACTTGTCATTCTAAATCAATTCCTTTTTACAACATTAAATTCTATGCTATTAAATTCCACACAATATTACCTAACGTTTTTATTTTATTCCATTTGTCTACTAATCTTATAATTGCACACCCTTTTTCAAGTTCTATCCATCCTATGAATTATTCTATATATGACATTAATTTGCTTTGCCACTTGACATTTAACCACGATTATAATCACAAACATTTTAGTTTTAATTGCATTTCATTATTATTATTATTATTTTATGCATTCACGCCTATGATTTAATTCCCTCACCGGGTATAACTTCTTAAAAACCATATATATACGAATGTACAGCTTGATGATAAATTCGTTGAAAAGAGTCTCTTCGCTGAATCATTTGTTTCGATTTTCTATATGTTACAATGAGAATTTTCCATGATTTAAAAATAGCAAAGTATCTCCATTAGTCTGCAGCTATGGTTTCTCAGTATTCCAAGGACCCCAACCAAGGAATCTACACCTGCTGATGTGGCTCAAATCAACTTTCAAAGATCTGATGCTAGGTTTTCGATTTAGCCACTCCTAAGTCTTTTTCACCCGAACCCTGTATCAGCTAACATCGTTTGTCGGGAAAGGCGGTGGCTGGGAATGTGCACCACATGTTCTAGTCATTTCAGTCGATGTAACTTCACAACATCACCGATTGACTTCCTTGCCTAGCACTATACGCCTATTCTGAATATAGCTCACCATATCATACCACTTAACACGGGAGATAGAACGCAGACAGCTTTCACTTTCAATGGGCGTGTCTCATAGCCATAAACGAAGACGTAGCAGACTGCTGAGCAGTGCACACATCCCTTAATCGATAGCCAGATATTACTTTTACGCCAGAGATCATGTAATTTGGTAGATGTCATACGAGCTTTTTGTATCCGTGCTAAGATTTTATCGGCAAGCAATCCATTAGGGCAGATGCATCTTCCCAAATAAGTGAACTGGTCAACACTCTCTATCACTTCACTGCTTATCTTTAAACCAGGAGTCGATTCAGACCAGTCCTACAGTATCATCTTCATTCGACAGGAGAGAATCACACGTCAAATATTCGAATATTTCTGCTCAAAGTGTTTAGAATACATTTTGTCGGCATCTTCACCTAGGAGGACCGTATCATCTGTATAGTTTAAGTCGGTGGAGTCAGTTAGGATCAGTTCCGTTGGTACATCTATGTTGAAATTATTCAAAAATGAGGATAGTAGGCATCCCTGACAGACACTACTGATTATCGTCACTCCAGACGACAATCTTCCGTAAACTTACACGCGATTGTATTATCCTAAAGAATACTAATTCTTGATTATCCTACCTATTAATTCCTATAGTGATATGGTGATCGATATCCAGTCTGGAAGTTAAACCAATCAGAATTGGTCAACGTAAAAATAACGCCCACTATTTTATTGATTATAATTTCAGACTAACTGATATATCGCTAGTGGCTTTCTTTTCTAATTAAACATTATTGCGTGAGATATACTTTGTGGCTCACATTGTTGTGTGCTCTCATTTAAATAGTGCGGGCTGGGGAAAATGGTAGCTGCGATAGTCGTGTCCAACTCCGAGTCCTCATTTCAGTCTCAACATATTGCGAAACATAACAATATAACAACTTTGTTAGATTGGGCAGCATACTTGTATCAGTGTATGAAATTTAATGCAGAACGAAGATAATTATCAGATAGTTGGAGGCAATCGGCCACAGGAAGCCTTGGACACCATCTAGGTTTTGTGCTAGTTGGCACTCACCAGTCAGCAAGGCGTATCTGCAACCACCTTGAAGGAACTCATGTCTCTTCTGAGATTCGAACCCACGTCACCCAGATTGATGTAGTCAGAGACGTCACTTTGATTGGACACTAGTAACTAGTACGACGTGTCTAGTCCTTTCTTTGCTGCAGAATGAATTCTATCAGTCAGGTTTGCAATGTGGCCACCATTCTAGGTAGCTCACCGTAATGAAAAGTTACAAAAAGTAAAGATGAAATATTGTTTGAAACGTGTAATTAGTAAATGTTGTCGAATAACAGATCTGATCGTAAAAACTAACAAATAATGATAATAATAGTAATAAAAACAACGAGTGTGATTTAACTTACCCACATAACCGGGTGTACCACACGCTGTAGCCATATTAGACTCATCATTTTCTATTTTAGATAAACCAAAATCGCTAACCATTATTTTACTATCATCAGCTGGACTGAAGTACAATAGATTTTCAGGCTAATTATCATTCGAACAACAATACAGCAACAACAACAAAAAACAGAAAAAAAAGAAGAGAAATTAGAAGGGAAACAATGTGTAACATAGATGATAATGATAATTAATCAATAAATATAAATCAATAAATGTAACCTCTATTTTTTTGTCTTTGATGATTTTTATCAAAGAGAATTTCAATTTTTATAGAGTTGAATGAATCTACACCTCCTTCTTCACCTATTTTGCGTGACGTCTCCTAAATTATTAACCCCAATTTAAAAACGGTTACGCTTTAAAGATGTGAACTTTTTGATTAGATTGTGTTCTCTGAGCTGGCTGGCGGTTTAAGTGCGAAGCTTTCATTGTCCCCCTTCTAGACAACATCACTTCAACAAAACTTATATGATTGAAAAGACAGATATTGAATTCTTTTCGATAACTTCATCATCAGGTTCTACAGTTATATGCATCCATAATAATGAAAGAAAGATTGTTATTGACAACATTAGTGGTTTTCGAAAAGACAGTAACATCGAATCACTTAGATCAGAATTCCAAAAGTTATTTGCAATTAGATTGTTCATAGATTATAGTCCAAAATATTATGTGTATGTGATAATATGTAAAATTGTAATACTAAATATTATATTCCTTTACGTTCCCCCAGTGGAACATAGGGCTTCAAGATACAGGCTTGAAATTTCGGTAGCAGTGGTGTTTATTTTTACGGGATAGGGTTGCTAGCCTCATGCCCAGTCTTCCCTCTTTGCCAGTTCTATTACTGGTTTAGCGAAGTAAAGCACTGCGCAAGCCGGGGATCGAACTCCGGACCACCTGCATGGCTGGCGAGCATTCTACCGCTGTGCCACCGACGCACGAACACCAATATTACAAAGTAAAATGATTATGAGTGACAACTAATGTATAGTAATAAGTTCTCATGAGTCATGTTCATATTGAGTTTTATTCATACTGATTATAAACTTCAGACGGATGAATGATCAAGTCAAGGACGAGGGTAGAGAAAAAAGGAATTTTTCGGGTTGAATTTTATGTGCGTTATATGTGTGTCAGTGTGTACGTTAACAACTACCGGGTTCGAAGCTCGGTGGGTGCGTACTGATGAAGAGTCGCAAATTGGGCTGACGAAACAGCTGGCTGTCCAGTACTCCCTGCCTGGTGGTTTTCGAATGGTTCTCTAACTGATGTCAGCTCATGATGAAATCCTCCAACCAATCAAACAAAAATTCCCTACAAAACCAATACTTGAAAATTACGTTTAAATAAGAAAACAAAAGGTTAGTTAGTGCAAGTGTAATGACAAGATGTAGAGGAATTTATATGTACAGGATGGAGGGCCACCTGAAAAAATTCTCCATATGAATGATATAACTATATATTCTGACAACCATTGTTGTGACTGGATGTCCACTGACATTGGTCATTTTTGAATTGTTGTGTTCTGTGAGCTGGCTGGCGGTTTAATTGCGAAGCTTTCGTCGTCCTTCTAGACAACATCCTCCTTTAGCGCAGGTTTTAACATAAAGGACTTATTGATATAAGTATAAAACTTGGGCACTGTGGTAGAGTATAACTCCATAATGGTTAAGATTATTTATATATCATATTGATATGATTATGAGCAATATTGTTAAAATGGACTTATTTAAATCCTCCAGGAATGATGTAATTGTGTCCCCTGGCGACTACTGTCGTGACTGGTACTCAATTTACATCTGTACTGATCATTTTTTATTGACTTGGGATTCAAATTCTCTTGTCATGGGATTTACGTTTTATTAGCTGGTAAATTTGGTCTACAATAATGTATTTGTTAATCGCTGATTCGTCGTCTGAGTATCAGGCTTTTAGAAATTCCCTGTCATCACTCCAGGTGTTCCCTCTATTTAAAATTTCGACATTATCCCAATCAAACTGGTGTCCGTAATTACCTATATGCATTGATATGAAAGAATATATATCATATCTCTTTACAGCTAATTTGTCTTCTTGGATTCGAATTCGAAGTGGACGCCCACTTCGGCCGATGTAATGTCTGTTTCAGTTCGTACAATTTATTTCGTAAATGGTATTAATTTTATCTTCTTTTTCTGCTGAAAGTTTGAATTCCAAGTCAATACAAATGATCAGCAAAGATGTAAATTCACAAACAGTCACGATAGTGGTCGCCAGAAGACACAATTACATCACAATTAAATAAACCAGCTCCTTAGAGAACACAACTGATTTCAATATCATCCACCTGAACTACAAATCTTCTCCATTATTGGTCACTTTTACTGACTTGGAATTTGAACTATTTTGTCATGTAAGTTTGATCGATGTTCAATCAAGTTAATGTCTATCATTGTTTAAATGCATCGTCGATATGTTAGGATACATCCAATTCACGTTCATTGGATTCTGAGTTAACGGGAACTCCCGCTTTGACCAATGGTGTTGTTTATCACAGTTAATGCAATCCATTTTAATACTCAAATATACGAACAGATAAAAGCAACACCAATAGGATCGCCCATATCAGGATTAATAGCTGAAGCCGTTATGCAAAGATTAGAATTAATAGCTCTACCTATAATTAAACCAAAACTCTGGGTGCGTTACGTCGATGATACATTTGTAATAATTAAAAGAAATGATTTAGTGCGTCGGTGGCACAGCGGTTAGGACGCTCGCCGACCATCCACATGGTCCGGGGTTCGACCCCCGGCCACTGGACGAACTCGTTTACCTCGCTAAGCCAGAATTAATGCTGGTGAAGAGGAAAGGTTGGGCATGAGGTGGCTAGCAAACCCATCCTGTAAAAATAATCACCCTGTGCTACAGAAACTTCAAGCCACAAGCTTGAAGCCTTATGTTCCACTGGGGAACGTGAAGGAAAAAAAAGAAATGATTTAAAATATCCCTATTATTAATAAACAACACATTTGCAGACATTAAACTAACAAGAGAAGAAGAATTAAACAACAAAATCCCATTTTTAGATGTCTTAATCGGGTGAGAACTAACACATGAAATCTGGAAACACAAGTATATAGATAATCAACGCACACAGATCAAATACTCAACTATAATAGCAATAACCCGATTACCCACAAAAGAAACTGTGTGCAGATATTGTTTAAAAGAGTTTAAACACATTGTATCACTCCAGTGTTGAAGAGAATAGAAGAGAAATATCTAATTACTGTCTTCAAATCGAATGAATACCCATGCAATTCCATCAAAAGATGTTTCAACTCAAATTGAAATATCACAAAGAAATCATCCTCAAAGGCCACAAGAAAATTCATTCTACCATATATAAAAAATATCTCTGAAATGATGGCTAGAATACGAAGACCATTTTAAGTAGACATAGCACACAAGCCAACACAATCACTTTATACAATATTAGATGGTTGGAGGCAATCGGCAGGAAGCCGTCGACCTAGGTTTCGTGCTAGTTGGCACTCAGTAGTCAGCAAGTGTATCTGCAACCTTGAAGGAACTCATCAACTACAGTCCTATGGGAGGTCAATCACGAGTCCGAATAGCTCAGTGATAAAGTACGTCTGTGACTGCAGTACTTGGTGGCGCGGGTTCGAATCTCGGAAGGAACATGAGTTCCTTCAAGGTTTCAGATACACCTTGCTGATTGGTGAGTGCAAGCTAGCGCGAAACCTAGGTGGAAGGCATCCTGCTGATTACTTCCAACCATCTAATATCATAAAATCAATGTGCACCGTGATGGCGAGCTACCTAAGATGGTGATCACATTGCAAACTTGACTGATAGAATTCAGTCTGCACCAAAGTAAGGACTAGACACATCACACTAGTTACTAGTGTCCAATCAAAGTACTTTATACAATATTGTGCAGACCAAAGGATCCAACAGGAAAAGAAGACGAGATCAATACCATTTACAAAATAAATTGCATAAACTGTGATGTAAACACTACATTGTTCCCCTTCAACTCACCGTCCAAGTAGATAAATTAGCTGTAAAAAGACACGATAGGTATTCTTTCACACTGACAATTCATATAGACAATTACGGACACAGATTTGATTGGGAAAATGTGGAAATTTCAAACAGAAGGAACGCCAAAACAGTCAGGGAATTCCTAGAAGCCTGGTACTCAGACGACGAATCAGCGATTAACAAACACATTACCGTAGATCAAATTTACATGACAAGAAAGTTCAAATTCCAAGTCAATAAAAATGATCAATACAGATGTAAATTAACAACCAACCACGACAAAGCTTGTCAGGAGATTTAATTATATCATTATTCATGAAGAATTCGAACAAGTTCAGTTTATATTAAAGCTTTTGCTGAAGTGATGTTGTCTAGAAGGGGGACAATAAAAGCTCCACACTTAAACTGCCAGGCAGATCAGAGAAAGCAATCAAATCCACCAAAGCTACAAGTCTTCTTTACTGATGACGACATTTCGAGCACAATTTATTACTGCTCATAATCATATCAAGGCACTACTCACATCACTTTCTTGCTTTGTTTATATACATGAGTAAAAATGGATGATTAGACATTTGAATAAAATCAATTTTTACTCATGTATATAAACAAAGCAAGAAAGTTATGTGAGTATTGCCTTGATATGATTATGAGCAATAAATTGTGCTCGAAACGTCGTCATCAGTAAATATTACTGTATAACAACACTGTGTGACTTTATCAAAATAAAATTTTATCCATAATAGAATTATATTCTACCACAGTGCCCAAGTTTTATTCTTATATCTACAAATCTTCTCTATTAAGTGAACTTTTACACCGAGAAAGTACAACGGGAAACACAAAGAACAAAGAACGCCAGATGTACAAATAAAAATAAACAATAGATGTGTACTAAAATTAAGATTAATAATTAAGAATAATAACTGTATCCCATAGTAACAAACAAATGAATACCTTATGATATACAGGAAAACTCAAATGCTTGATATATTCTCAACTTTAGGCTCAATTGTTTCATCTTATGTTTT